CTTTTTAGAAAGTTGTTTCACAATGGGTATGGAGACCGTTGCTGATTTAGAAGAAGCAGCATTCTTTTTAGGAGTAGAAACATTCTAAAGTAAAAGAACTGAGCAACTTTATATGATAGGCACATTCATCTCACCGTAGCAACCGTAGCATTTTCCATTGGGGAAGATTTCTGGAAAAGAAATGTTCATATGAAAATAGCAGGTTGAAGAGTACATAAATCTCAGGCAAAAGCGACAAACGAGTGAATTTTGTTTGAGAGTATGAGAAGTGTCTCAAAGAGCAGGCAGCGTACCATAACATTACCAGTATTTATAAGTCGTGTTAGAAATTCGACAAGAGGGGTGGAGGCTTATTTACTGCCAGCAGGATCCGCTATCGCGGATTACTGATCCTTTTCAAGCTTATACCGCAATTATTGAAGGTAGTTGAGCATGATTAGACTGAAGAACTTCAAGGACGCTAACACACTCATTGGGATCCTCTATTAGGAAGAAGTCGGCGTTTATTCTGGAAAAAATATGGAAATGGAACAGTTGTCCGCGGGGACGGGACTAATAGCGGTAAATAATCCTCCACCCCGAAAAGAGACGGTGGACGCGTCGAATGTGCCGCGGTGGGGGAATGATCTTTCAGGCACAAAAGCATCCGTTTTACAAATAGATGCATCGTAACGATCTGCCAACGATTATTTATCTACTACTGTGTTGTCAAATAAGCTCATGCCGTTTTTTAACTCAAAATGCAGTGCAAGCAGGAGTTTCGGCACCACTTGAAAGGGGAAGTCTTCTGTACAAGTACTTAGTTTGTATGAAAACTTCAATCTAGTAAACAAGGACTGATTGAAATTAATTCCAGAGGGCTGAAAAAGCTCAACCGACGGGTTAATTTTGCTTGAATGCGAAGAACTCGAAATTTACTACAACGTTCCTATAAATATGGAGTGATTGCTATGCCAACGAGAATTATAGCAATGCCCCGCGATAGAACCTAGGGAACAAGATCACTGATTTGCCTATCGTGAGCTACTGAGGCTAACTGAATGCCGATTGCGAAAATCGTAACCATTTTCCATGGAAAAGCGTTCTAAACGGTTGACAAATTTATTTACTTGCTCTTTTACAGATAGATAATATGATGTTGACCATCCCATCGTATACCCCTTCATTCTCAGTATTTGCGCGGGTATGACTTTTGTAATCAGCACGTCAATTAACTCCAATGAAACACTGAGTTTTCATTAGCGTACCCCTATAGTAATCCTACAGTATCCTATCTCTCGAAAGGATATAGTTTCTGTAATTAGCATGTGGATTACCCTATTCAAAGTCTCATAGCAACTTTCCAGCTTCTTGCCAAAAACTAAGCCACGGTTGAGCTTTTCTTAGCTCTCTGAGTTTCCAACTTCAACCATTTCAGTTCTAATTCAGCAAAATCGAAATCAATAGATAAGTCAGGCCAATGTGGAT